TTCTTTCTTTCTTTCTTTCTTTCTTTCTTTCTTTCTTTCTTTCTTTCTTTCTTTCTTTCTTTCTTTCTTTCCTTCTTTCTTTCTTTCTTTCCTTCCTTCCTTCCTTCCTCCCTTCCTTCCTTTTTAAACTCAGGTCTACTTCTCCTCTGTCCACTCCTTAAATATTACTGTTTTTTATAGGTTGCTTCCTCAGTCCTTAGCCCTTCTTCCTCTTCACACTCCCCATGGGAGATGTCAATAACTCTCATCATTTTAGTCAGCACTTCTGTGCTGAGATCTTCTAAATCTTTATCTATGTTTTCTCCCCAGGTGCCTGACAAACATACCTAAATTCATGTCCCACAGGTACTGCTCATTCAATATGTGTCTCCCCTACCTCTACTCTAGCTAGATTATAAACTCTAGGAGAACAGAAACTTAACTTCTTTGGCAATATAAGTTTGCATTTACCATATTGCCTAACATATAGTAACTACTCAACAAAAACTTGTGGAATAAATAACCAAAAATTTACGTAGTAATTATTAAAATATCATCCTTTTCTAAATCTACCACATTTTTTTGTTGAAACTCCAATCTCAATAGATGATTGCTGTCCACATTCTACTCCAAAGCAGAAACCTAGGAGTAATCATTCATTTTCCCCACCCACCAACCCCCTAATTTTGGCCATATTTATATTATTTTTATAATATCCCTCATTGTTTGCTTCCTACTAATGCTCTATAAAGATCTTCCAATATCTCTACGGGTGTCAGTAAGATAGTCCTACCTCCCCAGCAAACTGATTTTCCTAAGACTATCAACACCCTCTTTATTTCCGATTTTGGTGTTCAGTCAGAATGAGCAATTTGAAATTCTAATTTAATCCTATATCTCATTCTACTTAAAGATATTTAATTATTCCCAATTTCTCTTAGGAAAAAGGAAACAACTTTTACCAGGAGGATTATGTGAGCCCAGGAATTTGAAGTTGCAATGAGCTATGATGATGCCACTACACTCTAGCCAGGGTGACAGAGCAAGACTCTGTCTCTAAATACATACATACATAAAGGCATAGACTCTAATATGATTCGAGAAAAAGTGAAATCATTACATGACAACTTAAAGCAAAAGGAAGGAGAAGGATCTAAAGCTGAAGAATTTAATGCCAGCAAAGGATGGTTTGATAATTTTAGAAAGAGGTTTGGCTTTAAAAATGTTCAGATAATAGGAGAATCAGGTCGTACTGACCAAGAAGAGGCAGCAGACAAGTTCTCAGATACCATTAAGAAAATCATTGAGGAAAATGAATATCTGCCTGAACAGGTTTTTAATGCAAATAAAAGTGCACTATTCTGGGGAAAAAAATGCCACAAAGGATAGTTATTAACAAAGAAGAAAACAAGCACTAGAATTTAAGACAGGAACGGATATGCTAACTCTGTTGTTTTGTTCAAATGCAGTCAGATTTATGATCAGGACTGCCCTTATCTCATAAAGCTGCTAACTCCCGGTGCCTGAAAGGAAAAGATAAATAACAGCTGCCAGTTTTTTGGTTGTATAGAAGACCTGCACAATGAGAACCCTTATTTTGGATTGGTTCCATCTATGCTTTGTCCTGAAGTCAGGAAGTACCTTTCCAGGGATTGCCTTTTAAAGTTCTTTTGATATTGGGTGATGCCTGTGACCACCCAGAATTCCATGAGTTCAACACAGAAGGCATCAAAGTCATCTACTTGTCCCCAAATATAATGCCTCTCTCTAATCCACTCTCTAGATCAGGGGGTCGTAGGTCCTTTAAGGCAGATTGCACACAGTATTCTATGGAAAGGATTGTCAATGCTATGAAAGAACAACTTGATAGAGAGAACATCATAAAATGCTCTCTATCAACGATTACATCATTGAAGATGTCATTGTTGTTATAGAAAAAAATGTGAAAACCATCAGGCTCGATACAATAAATTCCTGCTGAAGAAAACTGTGTCCAGATGTTTTGCATGACTTCACAAAATTCATGACAGAGCCAATTGAAGAAATCACGAAAGGGATTGCGAATATGACAAAAAGAAACAGGTGGGAAGTGAAGAGTTTCAAGATATGGATCTTGGAGAAATTCAAGAGGTAGCAGGAACTAACATCAGAGGAATTAACAAATGATTTGATGGAGATGAGTGCTCTCAGATCAGTTCCAGATGATGAGGAAGAAGACGTAGAAGAAGCAGTGCCCTGAAGCAAACTGACATTAGTGAAGCTGTCAGAGGGGTCTGATTGTTCAAGGCTGCTTTTGATTTCTTTTGCAATACTGACCCGTCTATGATACGGTCTCTGAAACTAAAGCAAATGGTGGAAGAAGTATCAGTACTATATACAAACACTTTTAGAGAAATGAAAAAACAAGAGTCAGAAATTACAATGTATTTTCATAAAGTTACACCAAGTGTGCCTTCCTCTCCTGACTCCCACCTACTCCACCTCTTCTGTCCCTGCCACCCCTGAGATGGGCAAAACAAACCTCCCTTCTTCTTTCCTTCTCCTCCTCTTCAGCCTGCTCAACATGAGAAAAGAAGGATGGAGACCTTTATGATGAGTCTCCACTTCCACTTAATTAATAGTAAATATGTTTTCTCTTCCTTATGATTTTTAAATAATATTTTCTTTTCTCTAGCTTATTTTTGTGAGAATACAGTATATGGTACATATAACATACAAAATATATGTTTTTAGACAGTTACGTTACTGGCAAGGCTTCCAGTCAACATTAGGCTATTAGTAGTTAAGTTTTGGGGGAGTTAACAGTTATAGATGGATTTTTTGGTCTGTGAGGTGTCAGTCCCCGTAACCCCCACAAGGATCAACTGTGTATATCTAAAATTCCAACTTAAAAACATTTTCTCCATGAAGTTTTCACTGACTGCTACAGACTACAGGAATGGCTCCTCTTTCTAGCCTCCTAGGGCATGTTTCACTAATTAGATTAAATTTCCTTGTAGGTGTCTTTCAATAGTTCATATCTATGTCCTCAATTGTACTCTCTGGGATGAAAACAATATCTTACCACTTGTTTGTAAACTAGTAAACTAACACTAGTAAGCTAGTAAACTAGTTACTAAACACTCTTATTAGTGTTAGTAACTAGTAAATTAACACTAGTAAAAGTGCTAACAATAATAGAGCAAATTTTATATACAGTTTTCCTTTTCTGCAGATATATTTAGAGTTCAATAACTTTTGATGTAAACACTCAGTATATCATTTTATCTTTATTATGTATTTTTCTACAATTTAAAATTGCTAATTTCTTCATTGCTCTTCCAAAGAATGCATGCTTTCAGATTGTATAAAATCACTTAAATGGATTTATTCATTCAACAAAAATAAGAAAATGACTTAAATCCTTCTATGTTGACAGTACTTTTAAGAGAAGAGGCATTAATAAGTTAGGCTAATATTTAGCATATGCATGGAAAAGTGAATTACAATTACTTAAATAGGGGTTAAAATTTGTACAAATGAGTAGAAGTAAATATTTTAAGTCTAATAGTATGAATGTCTACATTCACGTAGTAACACTTTTACTGTACAGAGAGATATAGATATAGATTTAACCTTCTTTTATATAGATATAGATATATAAATCTCTTTTATATAGATATAAAACACTTGAAGAGGGTTAGCCATAGAAAGATTGTAAGGAACTGAAACTTTTCTCAAACTATATTGTCTCCTTCTGCATTTTCCCCTATTCTGTGATGTTTCTTCTCCCAACTTTCATCACTTGCCTTGAATACTGAGCTAATCTCTTGACATCCTCCCTTGCAAAATCTGTTTTTAGAAAGTCTATTTTAAAAGTATACCAATTTTCAAATTAATGACCAATAAGGCAATGGATTACCTCTCCAAATAATAGTTGTATATTTAATTGTGGTTAAAAAAATGTTGAATATATTAGGGTGAAACACATGAAATTCAGTTTCTTGACATAAAAATGGTTGATTGTAGGTAAATGTAGGTTCATAAGGCTTAACCGACGATAAGGATAAGTTTTAGGTATTTGTCACACTCTGGCTGGAGTGTCTAAAATTCAAATTGCTCCCTTAGCATTTTGTAAACATTGTTCAATTGCCCAATAAATAAACAAAGAGCAGTATATTCTAATGGTTCCAGTACTTTGATGAACTTATCCAAAATCTGCTACCAGAAAACATGGAATCTATTTTAATCTTAGCATACATTTAATTTTACTGCTTGTTATCTTAAAAATATATGGGGAAGTTGCACCAATTTTTTTTCAGTGTTTTGAGTGTCTCAAAGCTTTACTCAACTGCGATTGTAAAACTGGCCTTTTTCTAACCAAACAAAGTCTATTTAATATGTAAATTTTACAAAGTGTGCTTACCTGGTTTGGACATCTTTTCATCTTTTTTAGTTTCAGCTTCTAGGGTGAAATATACATATACACATACAAACACACAGGGGGAAAAAATAAGCATTTGAAAAATAATCAGTACCAAGTGGATTAATAGACAGGATTCATAGATTTTTTTTAATTTGGCTCAATTTCAGTTATAGTATATACTTCCACAAATATATTAATGGAACATGTACCTTTGGTAAATTATAAAGTAACAAGCAAACGTACTTCAATTTTAAAATCCAGTTTGCTGAAAAGTTTTGTAATAATCAAGTAATTTGGCATCTTGTCTTTAATA